AGGTTCCAAGATACAAGTCGAAGGAGTGTTTTCTCTAGAAAAAATTTAAAGGTTTTTTTTTTCCCCTTGTTATTCTCATCCTTTTTACATGGTATTCTGTAAAATGCCATCCAACAGTGCAGCAACTTTAGATGCATATCCGTTGTGCCAGCTTAAGAAATCCTCTTCCACGGTTTGTTGTGCTCTGTATTTCATGATATAAAAAGTTGCACCATAACTTCCCCAAAAATCCTACCCTCAATCCTTGAAGCTTTGCAAGTAAAATAAATCTTCTAAGGACCTGAGTGATCAGTAATGACAAAAACAACATATGCATTAATATTTCACGTGATAAATTGCAAAGATCTATGCATTGCTTAAATTTGTCAACAGTACCTTTCCAGCAAAGTGCAAGGCATTTGAAAAATTACCTCTCGTGTTTCAGGCAGAAAGGGAAAAAACGCTTTTTCAAACAATGAAAACATTTCCCTTATGGATAGCTAAACCAGAACCATGTTTTTAATTGGGAAGAAATTAGGACAGGGATGTTCCTACAACTGACCCTTTTAGGCTATGGTTGAAATATTCACGTTGGATTATTTAAAAGTAAAATTCCTGTGAAGTCTCTCATGTAATGATAAATGCTTTTCCTTGCCTAGAGAGGAGAACTGTGTGAGAAACTGTTTTTCCTCTTGAAACCTTGTCCTCACCTGGCCTCCATGACCTTATCCTCTCCTGGTTCTTCATTTACATCTTTAAATGATCGGCCAGTATGTCCTTTGGTAGATCTTCCTTAACTCTTTAGCTTTCTGTGGGATGTCTCAAGGTCATGTTCTTGGTCCCTTTTCCTTTTTCCTCTACACTTTATCCCAGTCTCCTACACAAAACCAGCTACTAGGGCTGTGCAACATTTTGGTCCCTGATTTGATCTGGTGGAGATTTGGCGCGATTCAGTGGCCGTATCTCTGAATCCGAATCAAATCAAAGGACCCTTTAATCTCTCGGAATCAAATTGGAACCCTCCAAATCAATTCGGAGAGATTTGGAAATTCTGACATAGACACAGCTTTAAAAGTTTTTTCTACATACCTCTAGGTAGCAGGGGCTTGTGAATGCTGTGATGCTGGGGTGCATGGAGTGTCCCACAGAAGTGCAGGGGGCTCCCCAGCATGCTCGGCAGCAGACCCAGGAGTGGACCAGAAGCACATCCAGTCCACTTCCAGGTCCACCAGTGACTGGTGCCTCCTGGGTCTGGCGGGGTGCACCCGGGTCCCCCTGTGGCTGATTGCTGAGCTGGGGTGGCGCGGGGGGGGGCCCAGCACTCCCCAGCAGACCCCGAATTGGACCGGAAGTACTTCTGGGTTCGGCGCTGAGCACGTGGAGGCCCCTCCCCCCACACTCCTGTGGGATGCTCCATGCACCCCCGCATCGCAGCGTTCACAAGCCGCACTTGCTACCTCAAGGTATGTAAAAAACCTTCTAAAGCTGTGTCTGTGTCCGAATCGCTGATTCTCTGAATCAGCATCGAATCTTCAGATTTGGATTCAGCCAAAATGAATCAGAGATGGTGATCTGAATCAAGTAATCGAATCGCTGTCCCTGATTTGGGCCGAACCCAACTCTGAATCGACTAGGACCCAATTTGCACACCCCTACTAGCTACCATCTCTCTGCAAATGATTATCAGATCTTCCTCTCTCATCCCTTCTATCCAAATTAAAATCTCAGTCTGTGTCCAGCTGGCATTCAATTCCAACTCAGCATGACTAAACATAAAACAAAGGTTTTATGGCAGAATTCTGTTTCATTTTACACACCTAAATGACAATGTCTCAGCCTGATAAATGACATCTTGGGGCACTTACACAGTTTGTGATTCTAGTACCTATGCTGTAGAGCACGTGCAGTAGACTATGCACTGGTCTGGAGAAGTGTGCATGTAAAGTGAAATAGCATTACATCTTTATTCTCTGTCTCAGTTTTCCCCACTACCCCCTTTTTAATCAATGTTGCCATCTTTTTTGTCCTGTAGGCCTATAACCTGGGCATCATATTTGACTTGGACCTCTCTGTAGGTCCTCTCTTCTAGTCTAAATATAAGTCTTGTAGATTCCTCCTGCACTATATAACTAAGCTATAGCCATTTCTGTCTCTTGACATAGCTAAAATGCTTGCCCAAGCTCTCAGCACCTTACATGTTGATTAATACAACATTATTTTTCTGGCTTTGACAGATGCTCTGCTGCTCTCCTGATACTCACCCAGAATGTTGCTGCAAGGATAGTTTTTCTGGCCTACTGCCTTAACCAGGTCACTTCTCTTTAGGCGCCCAACCATTAAACCCCTTTTCTTTTTTATAGTAAACTTAAGCTCATTGTCTTCACTTTTAAAGCCTTTCACAACCTATCATCTTTCATTTACTGTGAGATTTTGACTCTGGGCCCCAATTGTCCCATAAAGCCAGCCTTCATTACTCACTTTTTAAACACGTTCATGCTTTCTCCCATACTGTTGCTTGCATGTGGAGGTTTCTGTAAGCATATAAAAAATGCCTCACCTACCTTCAGATCCCTTGTTTGCCATGATGCCTACACAAAACTTTACACTAGCTGGACTATTAGGGTAGGTACAGAATCAAAAAGCCTGAGGCTAAATCAATTCCATCTTTTCAGGTTAGTTTTAGCTACACAGATTAAATTGAAACAGAAGTGAACTTTTGATACAGGGAATGCAACCACGTGCCTGCAGCGGATTAGGCCAAAAGCTAAGGGGTGCTAGAGCATGGCTCTCTGGCTGTGTGTTCACTTCCTCTTCCTGCTGCCCCTGAGGTCTCTGGGATTTGCAGTCCAGAATGACAGCATCAGGACTCTGCAGGGTTCCTCATCACTTCCTCTTCCTGCTTCCAGGTACCTGTGGGATTTGTAGTCCACAGTTGCAGCCAACAGTAAGTTTAAGTGGGGGATGGAGTGTTGAACCCCCCTCCCTGGCCCCAACCAGAGTTTGTGGGGGGGGAGGAGGGGGCAGTCCCCCCACCCTGCAAACTGGTCTGCGTCCCTAAAGGGGCTTGCCCTCTCACCCCTTGTCAGCCAGCTGTCACTGCTCCAGCTAGGGAACAGAGGGGTGGGGCCAGCCTTGCTCTCTGGAGTAGGCAGTGCAGCCCAGTGCAGGTCTGGAAAGCATGCTGGGGTACTGTGATTTAAGTTAAACCAGGAAGGGGTCTGGGACAGAAGTTTCATAAACCGGTTTGATCCAAATTATCTAAGTCTGATACTACATTCAAGCAGGTTTGTCTTAAACCAGTTTCAGCTAGTTTGAAACTGTTTTTTGTGCACTTAGCTTCTGTTTGTTTACAGGTTTAAACCAGTTTCTGATCACTTACTGGTTTATGTGTAACTTTTGTCCCTAGCCTTAATGTGCTATGACTATCTGGCTATCGTGATGATTGTCCTATTCTTAACTTATGCTTTCTTATCTTTCTGCCTCTGTTGTTTCTTGTCTTAGACTGAAACTGTAAGCTCTTTTGGCCAAGAACTGCCTTTTTGTTCTGTGTTTTTGCTTCACTCAGTGTTGTGGGGCTGTGGACTCCTGGGAACTGTGATGATGTTGATGATAATTTTTAGTTTGAGGTTGTAGCAGGCTATACAGAGGATGGCTTAGGGATAATGCTGCCTTTATTTAACAGTGATTTTCTTTCTGTGGTCATAGTGTAAAGTGTGGAATATTCAGGATTAACTAAAGGGAGAGAGCAATTAACCAACAAACTAACAGAACTAAAGAGTTATTTGGATACTTGTGCTGACCTTGGATGTGCTGTGGGATGTTATCAAAGGCCCCTTTGCTTCATATGACAAGGGCATTATCTGTCATAAGTTTATTTTACCAGTTTTTAAAGCACTTATCATTATGGCAAGTACTTCTTTTAATTATAAGGAAAGAAGATTCCTGCCCACTCTGCCCTCCTTGGCTAAGTACATACAGTCAAAAAGCCAAAGGCTGAACCAGTTCAATCTTTGCAGGTTAGTCTAAGCTGCATAGATTGAACCAATAAGCAAGTGAACAGATGTTCACTTTTGATTCTGGAAATACAGCCACATGTTGGAGTGGTCCAGGCCAGAAGCTGGGGGTGCTAGAGCATACCTTCCTTTTTGGCTGAAGCCAGATAGCTTGGGCCAAGGCTAGCCTGCCTACCCTGTAAGGGAGGTGGGAGTTGTGCAGGAGGTGCAAAGCATCATGGAATGCTGTGGGACTGAGAGTTAAGTTGAATCTGGAGGGGATCTGGGACAGAAGTTCAATAAACCAATTTAAACTAAATCAGTTAAGTTTAATCCTACGTCCATCCAGGTTTATCTTAAACCAGTTTCAGGCATTCTGAAAGTGGTTTACATGCACTGAACTTCTGTTTTGTTACAGATTTGAAACCATTTCTGATCACTTGTACTGGTTTATGCATAATTTCTGTCTCTAGCCCTTGTGTATCCGCCCAACACATGCCATGGTTCCTCAGGCCCTGAATTTTGCTTAAAACCTTTTAACCTGTCAGAGCTTAGGCAATTCTTCTTTGTCAGTATGAATGCGTGTCACACATAAATCTTGTCTCACTGTAAGGCTATCTCAAAAGAAACCTCTGCTTTGCTTGAGAAGGCCTTATTGGTGTATGTTCTGAGCAGGGTTTATTTCAAACAAGTAATGAAGACAGCTATAGCTTACTTCTGGAAACAGTAGAGAAGTGAGATGTTTAATAAGAAACTACATTTAGATGTTTCTCCCATAAACATGCTGTATTGTACCTAAACACATCAACATATCCAAACCATGCAGTCAACCACTCCAGTTACTTATATCTCAAAGCTATAATATCTCACTTTCCATCAGTATATCTCACACCTCTTTCCCACATACATCTAGTTAGTAAAGTAGAGAGTTATTGGCACATGCAGCCACACCTGTCAGTGCTGAAGGAGATGGCTGAGGGAGGGGAATTTTTTCCTGAGTTACAGGGGAGTCTTTGTTTCTAACTCTAGGTCCTTCTTCAGTTATCAGCAATGATGATGATTCAGCAAGTCCCCTCCATCATATTTCAAATGGGAGTAACACTCCATCATCTTCTGAAGGCGGCCCAGATGCTGTCATCATTGGAATGACAAAGATTCCTGTCATTGAAAATCCTCAGTACTTTGGGATCACCAACAGCCAACTGAAGCCAGACACCTGTAAGTACAGATATTTACATATATGTTGTTCATTTATTTTTTTCTCAGTGTTGCTGAGTCTTTTTACTAGAGCTAATAGAAATATTGTGCAAATTACCAGAAGCAGAAGAGTAGAATAAAAATGCATGGAAGATATTAAAGACATTGCACTGAAAATGAACTGCTTTACATCTGTCAAAGCTAGTGGTCCAAATTCAGCCCTTGTGACTGGTCACGTAAGTCAGCACAGTTAACTACCTAGAGCCAGATCCAAAGTCTGTTGAAGTCTTTCCACTGATTTCAGCAATCTTTGGACCTGTCTGGGGCCCGGATTTTAAATTTGTCTCAAAGGTTTATCAGGACAAAGTATATTTGGCTTTGGACCAAAATCAGAAGACAATATTTGCACAGCACCTTTACATATGTTCTAATACCAAATTCATTTTCTTGTGATAATGGATATAAATTTACTCTGAAATATGCTTAGCAAAGGTGACAACTTTTATTCTTTTATTTAGATAGCTCAATCCTTTCAACTGGAAAACATGTTTAATGTTTAAGCTAAGCATTAAGTTTTATTTTTACTGCCGAAAACCAGTAAATCTCTCAAATACATGTTTTTAGATCATCAGGTGCAGAAATGTGAAGTCAGTATTTAAAAAAGTACTCCACCCCTCAGTTACTGACCTCCATATCAAAAAAAACTAATTTTGCTAATGGGCATTTGTAGTGTGGCTCTTGAAATGCTAAATTTCAGAGTACAGCAAATTTTTAACAAGTATCTTAAGAAAATTATAATTGATATCAGTAGCCACAGTTAATATGCTACAGGAGAACAAATAGAGACTGGTATTTATGGATGAATCCTGGCACTAGCCAATTGTGCAGGAGTGGCAGCTGTAATCAATGTTACTTAATGGTTTCCGTTTTCAGTCACTCATAAACTTCTCATGCTTTTATCTTTTGGATTGACATTTTTGAGGCTTGATTCCTAGTGATTATTTAATGCTTCTGCAAAAACAGGTTTAGAGCATGAGTAGAAGGAGAAAAACTATATGTCTGTATTATAAAAAAATCAGACAACCATTTTTTGAACAGCATGAAAGAGCCAGAGGTTGAAAACAGAAGAGAAATATCTTTAAATGTTCCAGTGAAAATTGATTCTGATTTGAGCAAGTTATAGGCCTTTACAAATTGTATTCTGCCAAATACATAGTGGATTTGGTGCAAACTTTTCCATAAACTGATAGGGGGGCTGATCTATTTCCCAGGGAAGTTAATAGAGGAATTCTTACTGATTCAACTGGGCATTGGGTCAGACAAAATGCATGTAGTTAAGGGACCATACTGTAGTTTTGTGGAAAAAGCTGTAGGCTGGATGCTGAGACTGAGTCAACAAACTTGGTTTCAAGCAGTATATATAATATACAGGATGTAACAGGAACCCTTCCTCTATAGTGTGTGTGTGCATGTGTGTATGTGTGTTGGAGGGGAGGGAGTGAACATATATAAGGGTTGAAGTCAAGACATCTACTTCTCCTATGAACTGTAATTTCAGTCCACAGGTGAGGCATCCAAAGTGGAGCATTAGGAAGCTGTTTCAATGCTAAATCTAGCATTCTCTGCTTTTTATTTATAGTGTTATGTAGCATTATTTTATAGTTTGACATCTTTTATACAGTAATCCTCTGCTAAAGGATCTCAAAATAATTTGACAAATCATGTGCCTGTGCATAAATATGTTTTTGTACTTGACAAGGTTAAGGAGAACATTGCATAGATGCATTGTGAGGACAGCATCAATCCCTGAGATTTGAAACCACTAAGGAATCACACTTGGGGCAAAATGCCCACATGCCATTGACAATGTTCTGTAAAAGCCCATGTTTATGAAAAAGAGGCTTTTGTACTTCTGTTCCCAGCTGCATTGAACCACATTATAATTGTTCTTAAAACAAATTTCCGTGAGTTCAGTTTCTGATTTTCAACAGTAATGTAAAAAAGTATGCATCTGTTGCTTTTGAAAAAGAATTGTTCCAAAACAAAGAAGGCTTTTGAATTTAATAAGAAGTTGGACCTTAGAGAAGCATTGCTTTAGAGTTGAGAAACTAACTAAGTTCTGATCCTGAGGCGACTTCAAGTTTGTTTGATTTTGAACACTGTGGATATTCCAGTTACATTCAGTGAAACAATGCAGCGCGTAAAGTTAAGCATGTGCATAAATGTTTGAAGAGAGAGCCCTGATGTCATACGACTATGCATGAGAAGAGCACTACATTTGAACAAGGAGGGAAAAGCTGGGCACAACAGGTCATTTATATGTTGTGTTGCTCATCCCCATATTTGAGATATTTGAGTTTTTATTGTTTTAAACAAATAGACTGAGGTAAACTAGTGCAACATAACCTAATAAAACCAAATCAGATTTCTTCTACTACACTAAGCATGTCCAATAGAAAGGGTAATTTGAATTGTCTAAGACAGAATTATTTCACATATACTCTATCTCACTCACTCACTCACTCACTTTTTATTAGAGAGCTGCATGTGTCCTCCTTTAACCTGCAGGTCTCCTCCTGATTTCTCTTTCTGCCAACATTTCAAGCTATAGGTTCAGTAGCTCTCATAGTGGTTTCTTGTTTACAGTAATACCAGCTCCAAATGTCATCTGGTTTCTCATTTTCAGTTAAATAATTAACATTTATGTTTATTTCCTATCCAGCTTAAATATTGTTTTCATCTAAGCAATGGATACACCATTGATGACTGTCAGGCTGGAAAATAACTTTGTGGTTTAATATATGTTGTTCTGTGGTTTTTGGGTTAAGTGAAATTCCATGCATACAGTAAAGCTGTATTATTATGGAATTTAAAGGAGTGTGTTTGCAGTGAGATGCCCTTATCCATTTTGCTGGGGTCATCTGATCCCAGCAGTCTTTCCTGCCCAAGTGCAGGGGTGCTGGACCCAATTATCTGTAAGGTCCCCTCCAGACCCTGACAACTATGAAACTATGAATTTAAGCCATATTTTATCCTCTTATCAACAACTTGTTCTTATATATAGCACATCAAACTCCAGCACAAGTTTTAAGAAGTACATGTATTTAAAAACTAACTATTACAGTAAATCCCATTTGAGATCCCACCACATCACCAGTACGTTAGTACTTCTGCCACTGCAACAATTGTTTCTGAGAGATACCAGCTTCTGAAAAGTGCAGTTCTGGAAATGAAGGGAAGAAAGGTAATGGTGTCCCCCTCCAGTCCTAGTACATCCTTTTAAGGTGGAAGAACCAAACTGATTGCAGTAAACTTCATGCAGGTCCAACAGCTGGTTCTAATCGGCACCCAGAAGTACAAGGGATGAAATTCTGGCCCTAATGTCACCTGGAATGTTTGTCTAGAATGTAACCAAATGATCTGTTGGATGTATTGATGTACTGAACTGGAAATGTTCTCCCTCCTCCATTCATGCATGTGTAATATTTTCCATCCTGGCCACACAGGACCTAGCCATCCATTCTCCTCTACCCGTCCAGCCAGCCCACAGGATTCTATTACAACTCCTGCCCTTTGTGCACCTCTGTGGCTCTTCATTTACCTGCTCTGGACACTCAACTGCTGCTGGCCTCAGCTCTTTCTGGCCTTTGTCAGGTTCCTCTACCTTTATGGAAGACCTCAGTATTTCCACGTTGAATTTTTGCATGTTGCCAGCATACAGAGTAACTTAGGGTCCACAGTATACTGATTCACCTGTTTTTAGTTACAGTCATGAGGGAATGCTCTTGCTTGAAGCTGCCTGGCTAGTTGTGACTAGTCAACTTTCAAATTAGGGGAGAGGGTTTGCAGTCTGGGGATGGCATAATGAACTTTGCAGTGAGGTCATTCCTAAATGAAGTTGCAGTGTGCTAGACAGAGCCTGTGGCTTGATCACCTGTGAATGACTTTCCACAGTTGCTGTTGAAACTAAGCCATGACGCTGTAGTGAAATAATCTTCAGATGCAAGAATCTCATGTGGATGGCAAATCCAGAGATTATTTTCCCTTGGAACAAATCTAATAGTCATTTCACCTGAGAACTCAGTGGCTGCTAAAAATCATCACTTAGCATGCTGAAAACTGCTTGGAGTATATCAGACCATTACTTTTGCATCTAAATGATTAGGAGAAGAAATCCACACAGTATTCACACATTGCCTTGTTGAGAGTAATGTGAAAAACAGAACTTCAGGACAGGAGATGCATAAAACATCAATGGGATTGTACAGGTTGTAAATCAGGGAAGAATCTATAAAGTGCGACTGTCAGGTAAACTTTATGACTTAGGTTACAAACAGATGTCGTCCTTGTACCGCCATATACCATTTTATGTAGGAGAAAATGCAGGTGTACTGGTATCCTTGCCCTTGTTGCATCGCAAGTGCCCAAAAAGGGCCACATAACAATTCCTACTAACCTTTTCTGCTGCTTTATTGCAGTAGACATCTGTATGCTTATGGGTGCTCTTGGGTGCACATGTCACACTGCCTGGCCCCAACCCAGGGCACACATCTGCAGGGTTGGGAAACCCCCTGTGGAGTCCCCATTCTGCACTTGCAGATGCACACCTCAAGAATCGCCCAGCACGGGATTCCCAAGGTGCATGTTTCATGCGGCCTGGCCCTAACCTGAGGTGCACTCTGCAAGTGCGGAGCAGGGACCCTATGTCGGGGGGTTCCTCAAGTTACAGATATGCATCCTGAGTCAGGGTTAGGCACCTGGAGCTGCTGTCCCACAGGATCAGGCTCAGGACAACAGTCCCAGGGAACATCTGTCTATGCCAATCAAGCAGATCAGCTGTGCCAAAATTGGCCTGAGTCGCACACAGGCAGATTCTACTGAATTAAACTAAGTGCAAAAATTGATCTTTACTCTTTTTGGTTCACATATTCCAGTCCATAGGCCAGTTTTTGGTCTCAGGTTCCTTAGGGTAAATCTGAAACAATCCATTTGGCTCATTTGCTAAAACCAACTAATTAAAA